GGCTTTCCCACGAGACTGCACAATACGGTTTTTCAAAAAATGGGATTATACCCCTGGTATTACAAATGTCTATAGACTATATTTACCGCTTACCATTAGGCCAATAGTATATTTTTTTTGCTGCCTCAATAGTATAAAAAATATATATTCTTTCTTGAGTTTCAAACTTCAGAACGATTATCCAATTTTCATCCAAATATGATGCTAAAGAAAGGGCCTTTCAAAAAGGGAGTAAATTCTTATTGATTTTAATTAAAAACGAGCACACCGTCACCTTCTATTTCTGTTCCCAGAGTTGAGTAAAGAGTGATCATAGCCACTTTTGTTATAGTTTGGAAATTTTGCGTCATTCAATAATTCCTATTATGTGAAAATTTGTAAAGATATTTATCATTTTTCACACTTGTCACACACTTGTCCATATAAATATTTTGTAAAAAATACATAATAAAATATCCTTGATTACTTTATTTTACTCCGTATTTATTATATAATTAATGCAGTCTACCCCGTAAAATCTTTATTCTTTTATTATTATTTTTTTCTTTCTGTATCCATAGTATCCATAATTGCCTTGTCTTTCCTTACTAATGTATGTCCAGTTGTGACTGATTGTTAATTAAACATTTAGGTATCATATATGCTTTTATATGTGTATACATGTGTACGTAATGTATACGTATGTGTATCTACTACGCCTAACAACTTTTGTGAGTTTTCCATTATTTGAATTAGTTATACTTAAAAAATTGTCAGATAAATAAATAAACATTATTATTATTATTTATTAAGTAGTTTTCATTGTCGAAAAGAGAGAAAAATTTATATGAATACAAAAATTTTTGTTGACAAAATTCCATTATACAGCCTTTAGTTTGCAATTCACGACAGTTGAACACTACTATATATAATATAAAATCCTGTAAAATTATAAATATGAAAGTTTGTAAGATTGTCGTAAGTTTGTCGATATTTGTATATTTGTTGTTATTGACGGAAAACTCATCTTCGTACTCTTAAGCCTAAATAGTCGCGTACAGTGCGGTTTTAGCGAAATTTTCTTCCACAAATGCTCAGGCTATGGAATGAGCTTCCTGCCGAAATTTTTCCTACGATATAAAGATCTTCACATAAGGTTTATTATGGTTTTTTCAGGATCGGAAATGCACACGTGACACCCTTTAATGTTGCAGGCGTCCATAGGTTACAGTGAACGTTTATCAACAGACGGGCTATATGCGTGTTTGCCACCTGAATAGTATAAAAAAAAATCCATCGCGATTAAACGGCTATATGAATTAGAATAAAATTTGGTACACTAGGTGGTTGTAATGGTGATGGAGGAGTTGCCAGAAAAATCTAGCTTAAAAGATATTTATTTAATAATATTGGTAATGTATATTTCTTTTTTTTTTTCATGATTGGGATAAACTTGTAAAAGTAACATCTCCCTGTCCCAATCACAAAATGAAAAGTTCGGACAATAATACATTCTTCTATGTCCGGTAAAATATATATTTGTTATCTGCGACAGGGGTGGTATGTAAACGCCTTAAAGTGTGCAACTCTAGAACAGACTTAGTTAATTTTATGCCGTTCACGGCTACTTTAATTTCGCGCTTGGCTGATAATTTTCTGGCGTCGGTGCCCATGGAGAAAATCTTAGTAAAAGTTCAAGTTGCAATGTAATTTAAATGTGGATATTGTACACAGACGAATGTGATTTTATAGCTTTACCTATTTCACTGCGTACTTTTCAAGAGCATGAATTTTCTACGCGTTCAATATTTCTTATATAAATTATAATAAATCACATCAAATAAGCAAACCACACAACAAAATTTGAAGGACAGAACTATACCTATTTCAGACTCGAACCCTGAACATCATTTATATACGTACAATACACCTCACCTAATAAAATTCCAGTTGTCATCAATATTTACGTTATTTTCATGTTATTGTTAATATAATTTAATAATACTGCAAAAAATGAGAGTGTCTTTATATAATTAAAAATGGCAAACAAGTTGACGTCTCACCTAGTAGAAAGTGCCAACTGAGACATTATCACACTATTACATAATAATCGTCACCATATCAGTCATTAACTGTCCACTGCTATACATAAGCCTCCTTCAAAAGGAAGTAATAATCTTTCTGGGCAGGCAGGTTTGCAAACGCAATTAAGGTTTTTAGTGACGTTTTAAGAGGGATGCTGCTACCCATTCCTCGATCATCGATCGACCTTTAGTCGCCACCCACGGGAAAAGAAAAAAGTGGCCCAATTCCATACCGGGACCATACAGTAATTGCATAAACCTACATACAAAGTGCATAAATAATTATTAAAATATCGCTGCATTAAAGCAAATGGTACCTACTTTTATCCTTAACTTTGATTTCGGCTATTTTTTAAATATATAAAGACTTTTTATCCCCGGTTAACTCGTATTCCCAGTCGCAACAAACAGGTTCTAACGTTACCAAAAAAAGACAATAAAAGTATCATTATCATATCTCTAAGTAAAATACAAATAGTTTAATTAAATACTTATTTTGTTAGCAAGGCTAAATTAAAATGCCATTATTAAATTAATAATTATAATTAATAATAACGTTTATATATTTATCTCAAAATTTTTTTGAGTACAATGAAACGTTTAAAATAATACCATAAATACAGCAAAGTTTTAGAGAACTGGTGCCTGAACTGGGTATCCGAAGAACACGTATCACAAGTCACCAGGACCCCTCTCTGGCATGAAACAGTTTATGGTAATACATACAATGGAGAACTCTAAAGTTGTTTTTTTTTATGGGTGAAAATGGTATGGTAACCCCGCCTGCGCTAACGGGATACGCTGGCGAGGCACCAGTGAAGGGTGATAGATGAGAATGAAAATAGGCCAGTTAGCCCATCATGATGAATTCATCAGGAATTAACCATAATAGTTTCCAGGGAGAACCGCGAGGAGGTCGACCTGGTTGGGTATATTGCTAGCAATAGGATTCTCAGTCTCCATTACTAACAATCCCTTTCCTCCCTACTCTAGAGTTGTTAGGCGTAGTAGATACAAATACAATACGTACACATGAAAACACGTATACATACATAGTTATATGATATTTAAATGTTTAAATAACAATCAGTCACAACTGGATATACATTAGTAAGCAAAGGCAAGGCAATCAAGTACACTATGACAAAAGAAAAAGAAAAAAGAAAATAAAAATAATAATTAAAGAAGGAGATAGGATGCATTAATTTTTATTTCAATTTGAAATTTGTCTATCTTTATCTTTTCCATTGTTATTTTTTACCTTAGCATTTACACAAACGTGAAATAGTACGTTTGCAGTTTTAATAAAGTTAAACTCTCATTCATCTGGAACGCCATTAGGTCGATAGCATAATTCACCGACGAATAAAAAATGGACGCTCGTAAGTAGCACCATACACTAAATCAGAAAGGTTCAGTTGTTATGAAGATTGGAATCGATGTAATAACCGTAAAAACACGCGTAAAGCTCATCCAAATCACAAAGTTACATTCCGCCATACGTGAAACATCGTTTTTTAACTGTAACGTTCATTTGTTCCGGGAAATTTTGAAATAACAACCTCGAATCTAAATATCTGTTTACATATTTAAAAAAACAAATGTGTATTTATTTTAATAAATTTGGAAGCTATGTAGCGATTTACAAAATCAATACGCGGACTCACGAAAATCAACAAAATATGTTGTTACTAGTGCTAAATGTGTTTCTGAAAATAATGACTAGACTCTCGAATGTACTTCTGCTCGTAACTCTGAATATAATTATAGATGTACTAAACATTATTTGCATTGTTTTATAGAAAGCTACTGCCATTTTATAAATAAATAGTTACCATTCGTGATCCATATTATGACTCATTTTAAATAACATATTTATTCTTATGGCATAACCTCATTATTCCTGCCGCCTTTAAGCAGATAATCTTTAGTTCCATTAACAACCCCAATAAATCATACCTACCTACTAAATAATAATCCCATTAAATCCTTCATTTTCATTTTGAACAGGCATGGGTATTATGGATACCGATCCAATATCTATATATTAGCTCCTCTAGACGTTGATGTCGGTTCAAATGTCGGAAAAAAGTCCATCACCTATATTTTTGGATAACTTTAACATATGGGTTATTGGACCAGTATATTAAATTATCTTCATCATCATTATATCAGCCTTTAACTGTCCACTGCTGAACATAGGCCTCCTCCTAGGGAGGTTTTGCCAGTAATTGCCATGCTTCGCAGGTGGATTGGCACCCACAGTTAGAGTTTGGAGATGTTTTAAGAGGGACGCTGACGCTCATCCCTCGCCCTCTCTTAGTCGCCTCTTACGACACCCACGGGAAAGGAAAGGGTGGCCTACTCTATATCGGGGCCACATGGGTGTATATTAGATATTTTAATTAAAATATATAGATATCGCTATATATATCTAATTTTGAACGCCATTGAAATTCTTCATTATCGACAACTTTCGTTACATTAGAGAAAAGAACAGATGCTTTTCTACATATTTTTGTCTTTCTTAATAAATTTCAAAAGTATTGTATTCACTAATGCAATAAAGGAATTATTCATTAAATCTTTATAGAAATAATCCAGCCAGTAAAATTGTACAATTAAGTAGAATAATTTAATTGCGACCTATAGAAATAATATCATAAAGTCATTGAAGATAGATAAAAAGGTATTAGACAATTTCCAAGGGTAACCAACTTGAGAATCTATTTAATAACTTTACAGATAGAGACTTTAACTATGGTAGAATTTTGTTATAAATATTAATTCCAACCCTCATTTCAATGAACCTAAAGTGGATAATTGAATTGCGGTCTGTGGATACATTCACCGAATTGGAAAATTTGTTTCTGCTGAAACAAAAAACAAACAGTTCACGACCAATAATGAAACAATTACATTACAAATACGACTTACATTTTACAAATTTTTCATCTCTTTTTGGCATGTAATTACAGGAGCCACTGTAAGATGTACTTGAATGGTTAAACATGATTTTTCGATGCTAAAACACTTCGTTTCACTTTTGTCCTTTATATTACTAAAAACGTGCCACCGAAGTACAAAAAACCACCGTAACTTCGTTAAAAACGCGATGGTATTTCTGCTTTACATTTTTCATCTGCAAATATTTCGAATATGATCACGGCGTCCGTGTAAAACGAATTTGCGCCGAAACTGAAATTCGCGGGTGCACGACCGGCCTAGATGTGTTATTTTTGTTACTACGTTGCTCTCGCTTGTGTTTATTCAATTTTAATAAAATGAATTTCATCTACACGACTGACTTCGTTCTTCGACCATAAAAATAATGTCTCAATTTTGTCGACAATTTCAAAGCAATGAATGCTTTTAATTTTTTTTTTTAAATGACAATAGGAACGTTATACGTTATGGGACTGTCAGCCGTAGGCTGCGATGCGTTCTCCAACTTGGAAAGTTTACCGCTTTCTCGTACCGTCGTATTTCATAAAAGAGGCCGCCAAGTTTTTCGGGTCTAGATCATAACTTACTAGCTTATTGACTTGGGTTTTCTTCAACAATTCATTCTTTTGTCGACCCAAGCACTTTTAAGAGTAGTTTTTGGAGTATTAAGAATAATTTGATAGGATAATATAAGTTCGAAATACAAATGCTTATGTTTTGATAAAGAATAAATTTACATGTATTCTGCAGCTCTACATTATCAATTCATCTAACAGCCTTTTTTATACTTATTTTTCTTATTCCAGTAACAATTAAAACACCCTTAGCACTATAATAGCTCAATCGTTGTGATTTTTTAATTTCAAGTTTTGAAAGCACCCGGCGCTCGTTATTTCATACGGGTAAGCATCATGAAATTTAGTACACAGGATGTATTTGATATGGAGAAGGACATACATTTTATGTTGGTCGATCAATATGTCCCGGACTCTATATCACTTATATATATTTACCATATACACGTTAGAATATTTACTATAACGGTATACACTCAATTGGAAAAAAACGGGAATTACATATAAAGATTTATCTTCATATTGCCACTTAAAAAAAAGTTAACAAAAAAAAATTTGGATCCCCTTAGTTGATAGATATGATACAGTTCTTATAGTACTTAGTAGTGAGTGTGCATATAAAAATACGGAGTTCATGTTATTATTACCCCATAAAACCGGATATATTTATTTACGTTTTGTATAATGATGCTCGTTTTACATTATTATGCTAATAAGTAAAGATGGAACACATTTATTATCATATTTTTAAAAGTTAAATGTGTGTTAGAATTGTTTAGTTTAATTTCAAACGAATAAGTGACTAATATTTGTGTGCCAACAATAGAAATATCCTTCAGATATCATTAAAATGAAATAATAATAAAGTGAAAATTGCGTTATTGATTTACCTAAAAGTACTTATTCCCGTAAAACCGTTCATTGTTTATTGAATTTATAATGAATAACAATGAAAAGTAATCAAGCAGTGTACTCGGTAGGTACTTGAAATAAATATTGTATTTTCAAACAAAATAATTAAACATTAAATCATTTATTAAATATAAAGTTTCGATTTCTGTTAGCATTGTAGGTATTTATAGTCGACAAATGTTTCTAATTATAAATGCCAAACACGACAGGTGTACGTTTGGCAAAAATAATGCGCTTCTTAATTTTTATTGAGTAAATCGCACAAATAAATTTGACTCACACTTTATTTATGTTATAGTTCTCAATATCACATACAAATTTTCGTTTGCTTATTCAAAGAAATTGAATAACTATAAGGGATATCATAAGCATCACAATATATGCTGTGGGTAAAAGTTATCACTTTCGACCGGGTGAACCGTCGACTTTATTTTACATTTATAGACGACAGTTACGATTTTTCTTAAAGTAGCTTCTTTCATTAGCTTATTTAATATTTCAAGTTGCGTAAATAACATTGACGAATATTTTTAATGATGTAAAAGCATTTTTTGATTAAAACTGTTGTAGTTGACAAAATACCGCAAAACAAATCCGAATCCAAAAAATATATGCAAAATAAATGTTTTGAAATCGGTCAAAATCAAACTATCAACTTCATTTTTTGTCAGAATCTGTTGAAAGAGAGGCCACAATACTCTCTCCCTCTCTTTCTCTCTCTAAGTTTCGTATTATGATACACAGTCTTGCGAAGAATTCACAATCCGCAATAAATAATGTTATAATCAGCGCCATTGTGTGCAGGGCATTGAAGCGTGACATTTTAATGCGGATGCCAGAAACTTCCAACCTCGGCAAAGATTAAAATACTAAATAGACGCATAATCTGTTTTATTTATTTAATATTTACGTGCTTGCTTAATCGCTTACTCGTTTGCTCGTTCGTTCGTTTGTTACCTTTTGACATCTTAACGACTCAATTAACCTTCATGAAATTAGGTATTGGTATTTGAGATGGAGAAGTACTTAAAAATATTTTTTTATCCTGTTCAATTAGTCTTGTTCTGGTCACCCGAATAAAGTCGGGAATAAAAACTGATTTAAAATTAAAAACAACATTAATTTAATTATAAATAATGCATTATTATAACCGTTTTAATTGTAGCTAAAAAAAAAGTTTCTATAATATTTTTCTTTGAGTATATGTCACATAATCATCACAGATTTTAAATCGATTCATAATCATTTGCTACTATGTTTTTCGTTTCGTAATTTTGTCGCGATTCAGGTCCATTTTCTGTGGAACAAATTCCTTTTAATAAAAATATATTCAATAAACTTTGTTGAATGGCGTACCGCCAAGTAAAAATAAACTGAATGTAATTTTTAACATCAGCGACCCTCTTTGTGTATCAAATATTGTAGCTTATCCTTGTAGTATCTACCTTTTTACATAAATCAGTTGGCTTCTATTAATCTATGTCGTTGCTTTACTTAACACCTCTAGGTACCGTAATTAATATTATTGCCACTTGACGCCATGTCGGTAGCTAAGTGAGATTTAGCGTTAATCGTGGATGTAACTAAATGCACATAATGTATATTACTTATTTACCTAGACTTTGACATTAACATGAGACATATGACTAGATTAGAAGTACCAGTGACTTTGTCAGCTAGTACTAATTAATAGAATAGTACAAAACATAGCCTATATCCTCCATACTAGATACCACATGTATATCAATTTCACGATAACCCAATAACCTTAGATTATATAAATAAAGCATCGAATCTCGAAAACAGGTCAACTTTTTAACATCTAATTGTCAAATTAGCTGTCTTGTTTTTTTATCAGTGTTCTATATACTTACTTAGTATCTATATTTAAATATTTAATAAATACAATGAGTTTTTACAAATTAAAAAGACGCAAAAATATAAAACAAATTAAATACAGCAGTTATAAAGGAAACATTCATAACTATTTATCAAGCAAAATTGTATGAAATTTTTGACCCGCTTTTCGTTAAGCATTTGTATGAAGATACTCTATCTTTATAATCTAAGCTTATAACATAGCAATCCTTACTAATATAATAAAAAAGTGACTTTGTTTATTTGTTACCCTGTAACGCCTTAATGGCTTAACCAGTTATCATAACATTTGCCATTATACACTTACCATTTGAAATTAATAAGGAGATGGGCTACTTTTTTATCTAATCGATCAGTATTTATTTATCTCGATTTGGTGGACAAAGTCACAGATAAAACAAGTAGATATTTATTACTGTTAATTACGACAGTACATCCATTTTCACTAACGACAATATTATACTCTAGTAAGATTATTTTTACACTTTATTTACATTTGAAAGCAACCCATATCTAAACATTACACTATATATCTATATTATTATCATTAACATAAATTAGGAAATATCACATTTATGAAATGGACGGCCTCTTCAAAAAGGCTCTATAAAATAACGTTATTGTCACAAGCTTTGCTACCGTAAAGGTCAGCGTAATATATGCCGAGGCGCCCACATAATACACATTGAATTATTTATGTGGAGGCAAACTGAGATTTTTCTTTTATACAGATAGATTTTTCCCCTGTTTGCTTGAATGCTTTAATATGGCCTTCAACTATCCCTCTTTTAATTGTACTTAAATATCAGTACTGTTCTGTTCCTTATTAATTTAGGTTAAAATATTACATAATTATAATGAGCATACACAATTCTTTTTGACGGGGAATTTCGATGCTAGACACAACGCAAGGGAAAGTCAGTGTTTTGCTCTTTTGAGAGTCTGCCTTCATAATATAATTAGGTTTGGGTCATTTTGTGTTATTGTAGTATACGCATGAAAGAAAAATCTATGTTGCTTTTTGTATATTTTTCAGTATTTTCTCTCTCTCTCTCTCTCTCTCTCTCTCTCTCTGTCTGTCTCTTTGTGCATGTCTATATATGTCTATTGTTATTTATATGTTGTAAAGAGTACAAACAAATTATATATCTGTTTATTTCTGTATATAGCCTAGAGGTACTTAAGTATGAATGGTCGTTTGCTCTGCACATAGCGTTGTGAAAAGGAGTACTTTGCATATCCTGACGTAAATTATTAGAGAAAAAATAAATTATCTGTTTATTTACGTATACATTGTGAACGTGCGTTATAGAATGATATTGCTTTTTAGCTACTTGTATGTACTTTTCATTATCTATCTTATAGCGTTCAATATTTGTTTGTAGATACAATAACGTATTTATTATCAATTGAATTATTATGACTTCCCGTTACATTTTTGTATGTAATATTGATTTTAATTATAGAGTACATAATCAGATTTATTTGAATTTATATGGAATAAATAGGTTATGTGAAATTTATCTACTACTAATCGATTTCACATGAGATATCTTAAATCTAGAAAATGATCATAAAGTTAGAATATAAATAGTTATAAAAATATAATATTATAATAGAAATGTAGTATATATAAATATTATAGTAGAAATGTAGGTCACATTACACTTCAAATTTTTAAGTGATCTGAAAAAGGTAAACGAAAGGAAAAAATTACAATTATTTATTAATCTTTCATTCGTATACAGATATAGAAACTATAACATTTGTATGAAAATAATTAATTCACTTCAATCTATTTAATATTCTATTACCAAATACCATGACATAAAAGTTCATATAATCAAAACTAATACCTTCAAATTGTTATCTATTTTGTTTTTTCATAATGTTTACATATTATTTAGCGATATATATTCAAACTTTCGAAATGAAATACTTTTAA